ATGAACAGTGGATTTGGCAAACGATCATGGGACAGTATGAACAGTGGTTTCGGTAAACGCGCCTGGGACAGTATGAACGGCGGATTTGGAAAACGAGCGTGGGATAGCATGAACGGTGGGTTTGGGAAACGATCTTGGGACAGTATGCGTGGAGGCTTTGGAAAGCGCGACGGTCTCAGTGACGACAGCGAGGAGATGCGAGACGACGGACTGGAGATAGAGCACCTCCAGGACGAAGACTCGGCCGAGGAGGCGCAGTCGCTGCAGAAGCGGGCATCGGATTGGAGCAGCCTGTCAGGTGAGCGCAGCACCCCCTCGGCGCCCCTCTCCCCCTCCCCGCTCCCCCGCCCCGCACGAGGAGGCGCGAACGACTGGGACTGCCAGTCTGAATGTGCGGAACGCAGCCTCACCGTCTGACGCAGGTGGTGCAGGCGGGGCGCAGCCGGAGCAGGCGGCCAGCAGCCCCAAGGGGGCCCTCTCCCTGGCGGGCCCGCCCGAGGGCCCCAAGGAGGTCGTTAGTGCCCCCGCGGCCCAGCGGGGCGCCCAGAGCAGCCAGGGAGCACACGGGGTTGCGGGGGCCGAGGCGGGGACCCCCCAGTAGAGAGCCAGCAGGCTGGCCAGCAGGCGCACCAGGTTTGTGTGAGGCCCGGCGCGGACCGGACCGACTGCGGCATGTGCGATGATGCTTCCCCTACCAGCAGCAGTGGGCTTGCATGCGGCTTGCCGCGGGGACCTGCGACGTGCTGCGAAGAGATCGTAGGAATGTCGCTGGAATGAAACTTTTCAAAGCGGGCACGGACACAACCGTTGCATATTTTTACATTGTAGTTCCGGATCGACGCTTTTCGCATGACTTTTCCGGAAGGAGTAGGTGTAAATGAAATCAAAGAAAATCTGGAAAAGTTAAGAGCAAAACCCTTTCTACACGTAAAATTTACCGGAATTTGTGTTGCTTTTAAACTTTACGCAATTTACTAACCCCCAAATCTCAAACTGTACATAGTTTCAACGTTTGTACATGCTTTAAACATCTCGACAGCTGCCGCCTGACTCCATTCTTTTTCTCTAGACGGCATGTGGTGATGAGCCGGGTAATTGTGATTGCCTGTTTGCTTTCTTAAAGTGGAATCTGGACCTTCGTTCTCACGTTTGGTGTGGCGCATCTCAGTTTACCTCTATATTTCTTCCCCATCTGTCCTGAACTGTCACTCACTGCTTTTCTCTCTTCTGTTTTGTCCTCATTCTGACTCCCATTTCCTTTCCTCTCTCTATACTGCCTCTGTCTCTCTCGAACAGGAGGTCGGTGGCCCCTATCTCAAAAAGCGCGATCCTGCGACGACGGATACCAAAGTAACGCAATCTACAACGATGGAGCATTGCCGGCAGGTATGCTTAATAAACTTACTTTAACGGTTTTGGAACGTGTGCCCCTTTGTCCTTCCCCAAAATGAAAATTGAACAAATTGAATCTGAAGCCCAGGCCAGTGCCCAGGCCGTGATTGTGATACTGTCTCTTGTGTAATAATTGTACTTCAGCAGAGAGTAAAATCTAAAGACTGTCAGACAACTTCGAGGGTGCTTGCATTTGCTTGCCGCGTGACGCGGAGGCGCCGGCGCGTGCGTGTGTGACGAAAATACTAGTTGGAATCCCCCAAGCGTCCAGTTTCGGCCATGGCACCAATTGGCGCAGCAGAGACCGTCGCTGTTCCACGGGGCGGGCCCGGTGACCTTGCCTGGTGGGTCCGTGGGCCCGGGCTGCGAATTTGGCGCCTTGGGAGGGACGCGGACCGGCGCCACCCCCGGTCGGTATAGGCTCAGCCTGGACGACGACCAACAAAGCATGTTACAGCGAGGTCACTGGAGGCCCGCCGTGCCGGGGTGCTGCCGAGTGGCAGGGGCGCGATCGGAGAGCTCCCTGAAAACACCCGGAAACGCCCTCTAATTCATCTGAAACAGGGTGAGGGGGGGGGGGTGAGGGGAGAATGGAGGAAGAGTAATCTCGGGGAGCTCTCCGATCGCACTCCTGCCCTGCGTCGCACGAGCAGCAGCAGCACACGGTCACTTTTGTGTTATTCCGAGGTACGACCACGACCTTTTGCACCAGGCGGGTCGGTGTCGGCGGGCTTGCATACCCGCAGGCGCCATGGCGCCTCACTGCCGGAGAGAGAGCAGGCGTACTCGCCGACATCAAACGCCTTCTCAGTTCTGCAGGGTGATTCCAAAAGTCAAAGCGGGGAGGGGAGGTGCTCATAGTAATATTTCGTATCGCGAGAGGGTTTGCCTTCCGCCACTGTCCAGGGTGCGACGGCCCGGTGCGAGTAGGCAACCAACCCAACCGCACCAGTGAACCGGGTGATTCAGAGCACGCGCCGCCGTGTTGCGGGTTTGCCTATCCTCGACTCGGCGGGCGCACAGGTGAGAGGTGAGGAGGGGACCCCTCCGAGGGCGCCCGCCGAGTCGAGGATAGGCAAACCCGCAACACGGCGGCGCGTGCTCTGAATCACCCAGAACATGTGCGATTGCCTGCCATTTCCCGATGGCAGTATTTTTTGTCAACGTGGCCCACAACTTTGTGCCTTCTTCCCTTATACCTCGAGGGTGCCGCCGCGTTAGATAACGGGAAGAAAATGAATGATCTTTTTTGTGATTTTTAGGCTTTTCTGTAGCACCATCCTGCCGAATCGGAGACGTAAAATATACTGATAAAAAATGTTATCACTGTTACTGGCTCTATCCACTGACGCACGCACGTCTAAAACGAAGGTCCAGTAATGCAATGCGATGCAGTGCATGCCGCCCTGCCCTCCGCCCGTCGAGGCCTTTCTGCACGGCCTCCATCCCGCCCTGTGAATGCAACCCAGCCAGCCCCTCTATAGCAGGGAAGGCAGGCCTTGTGTACGGCATGTCCCCCGATATGAGCAGTAGTGTGCTTGCAGGTTCCTGGGGCAAGAGAGAAAACTGGAGGAGACTTAAAGGACTGTGGGGGAAGAGGTCTGCGGGCCTGGACTCTCTGGATAGCTCGCAGACTTTTGGCGGTGAGTTTGCCGAGCCAAAAAAACAAAGGGACACACATGAGAGCAAAGTAAAAATGCGTTTATTTTCTCCATAGCCCGGCTTTTATATAGTCCTGCGTAGCTCGACGTCACCCTCGCACGTAATTAGCCTTGTGTGTGAGAGTTTAGTTTAGAACGAGTTTTTGATTGACAGCTTGCAGGGAGTCACACCACCGCCTCTTCGCACGAAACGCTGAACGGAAGGAGAGTCGGCTCGACACCTGCAACCTGGAGGGCTTGGCCGCTCTCTCCACCCCGCACATTGCATTGCATGTCGCACGCGCCTTGGCTCGCTTTATAACGGCTCAGCTCCGTGGCTTGTCTTGACATTTTGGTAGCGCTTGAGTACAGAGGAGTCGAGATGTTATTCGCGGTCCCTCCTTATCCTGGGTCTGTGTGGACTTCATTTTGGGAGGCCCCCACCCCCCACCCCCACCCTCGTGTTGGGGAGGGGCTGAGGATACATTAGAGGTACTCGTTCGATTACCCCTCGGCCCCAGCGGGCCCCAGCTGTCAAATCTTCACCGAACGCCCCACCCCACCCGTACGTTCTGCTCACGAACGCGTTCGACGCGCCTTTCCATTTACACGGGGAAGTCCCAGGGGCGGGCGGGCGCCTGCCTGCGGTGCACAGGGGCCGCTCAAAATTCTGCCGCGCACTCTCGTGGGTCGAAATGAGGGGATCAACAAGAATGATCTATCAGGGACGAAATTTCGACCGTGACACGAAATCTAGTCCAGATTTTTCATCCAACGGTTTATATTTTCTACTTTACTCGGTGTTGTGAAACCAAGCACCGGTATGACGCTGGCCATAACACAATGCTTTGACGGCGCTAAGGTACATCTAAAAGAAACTCTTATGTTCCAGATGACGAGCTTTGAGGAAGCGGAGGGTAAGGACTAGCCAGCCACCGGCACCATCTCCAGATGATTTACAAGGACCTACAATCAATTGGCTGAAGATAATGAAGATATTGTAGCTGATTCCTGAGATATTTTCGCAGCATTGATTCGGATGAAGAAACTTTGTAGAAATATTGTTATTGAGGGTTGTAAACTGATGTTTAACACATAGCCACATATCTGGGCCAAAAACAGCCACCAGCAGCCACATTGTCTATCCTTTGCCTTAGACAATTGAGTATTACATGAGTTGGCTGGTCTATCCTCTACTTCCTCGAATTAAACATCTGATGTGATGTATAATTAGAAGCAAGGCGTTTCTTATATGCTACACTCTTTGTCCTGAACAGTTTCCCCTTTAGTTGTGGTATGTTCCACCAATATTTTGCTTTCTAACAGAGCTTTTGTGTAAAATCATTAATTTTTCAAATACAATATTATTGTACTCCTATTTTTCTTTGATATCTTCCCTTTTATTAAATTTGCATGGTTCTCATAAGAAAATTGTCATTTACCTTGTGTATGATTTTGTGGAAAAGAAGATAAATAATCTAGGACTGTATGTAAGCCTTGTTTTATCTAAGATCGCATTGTCTCCAAAAGTTCATGCTCATTTCAAATTAGATTTGTTCTGCTGTGGACCCGAGTTGAACAAACCTTTCTTGAAATGCAATAAGATAGCAAATTCAATTTAAAAGAAGGACACAAACACACCTATTTTTATGTTGTGAATGTACCTAAAAGTATATAGATTATTGAAGCGTTTGCATAAGCATCTATTATGATAAGTGGGATTAATAATAATCACTAGCCAATTCCGTAGGAGGTGAAGACCATGTACAAGTCATACTGTTAAGCAAAGTCATTTTTAAGACCAAGAACGACAATGCTTTAACTGTACTTGGAAACTGTTGGCTTTTGTGAAGACTACAGATTTATCATTAACTGTACATATGTGGAAGGCGATACAATACTCATCATGTCATATATATTTTGTTGGTTGTGAGTGTTTAAGATCTAACAAAGATAAAGAAGTAATATTTTTCTTCTATATCACTATTCTATTCTCCTA